TGCGAACTGTCAGTGGGTGGCTTATCGGGCTTGGTTGGGTTGGTTAGCCGAACACACAATATTAGAATACTCAGCATAAACTGCATTGTTTTTAGATCACAAAATATGCCCATTGGTTCAGAACACACAATGTAAGCGATGAATTCCTTTTCAAGCCCTCACTACCGAATTTAAATGAAACCATTTCAAAATGTAAAGGGTTTTCTGGGGAACAGTTGCCGATGGGTTTCCTTTTCGCGATTGTTTAGCACAAATATCAATTGATCTTTGGAGGTAATCGTTTTGTAGCAACATTTGTGCACCCAGAAGCTTTTGATCCAGTCAGTTCTTTTCCCGTGGAGTTGACTTGTGTTATCGATTGTGATAGGCCCTGTCCAACTTTACTTACGCTTACTAGGATCTACGAATGCAGTTTCAACAGGGTCAAACAGAAAGGTGAATGAGTCATGTGTTTATCTGTGAGCCCAAGAGAACTCAGTATTTTTTCGTCGTTTGGATTACGCGACCAAGGCCGGGGTGCTACGTCATGGTCACGTGAACGAGGGATTGCCTCTTCCGTTGGCCTGGTGAGTTTGAGAGCTTGAATAAGTTTTTTTTGTGCGCACATGAGTAGGATGCTAATCTCCTCTGCGGTTGCTATCGTCCGAAACCATTTTGCTCTGGAGGGGTGTAGTGATACTCGATACATCATTGTAACTGCCGAGCGCATATAAACCAGATGAGCAATTATCGAACTTGACACGGCTCCACTCCCACCCTATATGAGCCAGTATGGATTGTGTTCTTTGATCCATTGAGATAATAACCTTGTCGTTCGACCTACGTAAGTCGCACCACAAGTATACTTGGATTGGTACACATCCACAGATGAGGTCAACATAGGCAGCTTATTCATGTTGTAGAATTCGATGTTTGGTGACGTAGAGAACAGGTATCTTAGTTGAGTGGCATTGGATGTAGATTTCCCTGTTACGGATAAAATTCTGCTGACCCTGTCAGTGGTGACATTAGCTTTGTCTAAAAGGTTTATAAAAAGCATTTTCTTCTCCGCTTTTGGTATTCTTTTGTTGGCTTATCCTGTTTAATCCAATCTCGGTCGATAAACTTCATAGGATAGCTATTTTCAAGTGGGGTTCTGCTATCTAGTTCAATTTTACCCTTCAAATTATCTTCTGAACTGATGCGTCTTGCTCTCTGCAGAAGACAGCGNAGCTTACGTTTTTGATTGCGTGACGAAGATATGACAGTTTGTGTACTGTCCACTCCATGTTGCTTTTCTTTGGAAGGAGCCATCGGGGGGCCTATAGTCAGATGAACATACAAAAACGGCAAGCAATCATTCTCCCCTGCTTAAGTTGTGATCTTAATTAACGAATGTGCGGTGTTGAATTCTAGGTCGAAATAGGCAAGATTAGTGTGCTTGTTAGACACAAAATTGATATCATCTACATAACGGTTATATTGTTCAAAACAACTAGTAGTCGCAGTAACTTGACCATGAAGATATAAGTCCGAGGAATGAGACTATAACAACAGGTTGGACTTAGCGTTAGAATGTGCTATCAAACAAACATCGTACATTTAATGTGCATTTGAGTATGACTTCCTTGAAGTTGTGATCGTAATACCACTGATATCGTTTGCGAGTTGATATATTCACAAATGAGATCAACCCTTTCTAACAGGGAAACATTTGTAAAGAGAGAAATAACATTTAAGAGAACACCAATCGGTTGTTAATGTTCACATTTTTGGTTATTTCAGCAAACTGAAAAGTATCGCTAAGTGCATACTTGAAGACATGTTGACTTATGGGTTCCGAACGTCTAGCTAGCCAACAGGCAGTTGCACACTTTTGACTTTTCCATAGACATGATGGGACGAATCGGTAGAGCAGATTTGCGTATTTTGGGTAGACCATATCGACGGGGTAAGTCACAGCCAACATGGAGCAAAACTAGCCTGTTCACATGACCAAAGTGGCTTTGGTTACGTAAACCAAATAGTGCCAAATTTCGGAGTTCCTCTCAGGCCGATTGCCAAACACATGACCCATCCACCTTTTGTTTAACCCTATTGAAGTTATTTCACGTAAGCGTGATTGTAAGGGCTTGAAAACCGATTCGTCGAAAACATGTTCACCTACACTAAGTGATATGTATTGTTGTAAAGAGTTATTCATGGATTGTGATGTGAACTGAACATCCTTGATACTTGCTCTCTCTGTGCACTCCTCAGTTCCTACAATCAGTCGCACACTTGGTAGGCACTAAACGAGTGTTTCGCTCCCATCACAGATCATCAGTAGTGCTCCTCCAAAGTCTCTTCTATCTTTGGATGTATGAGCCACCCCAATAAAGGTGTGTGTATCATCCGTATGGATATCAAATCAAACCGAAACTTACCAGAATTATTCATTCATGTTTACTCGGAAATTGTCTGCAGAGATAGTCACTTAGTTCTTTTGCTTTGACACCAATGAACGAGGATACAGTATACTTATCAGTTAACTCCTATTGTAAATCTCTCAAAACGGTGAATGATCTATATCAAATATATATCTTTTTAAATCAAATTCAGATTTGTCTGGCTTTGAATTTGGCTCTCGAATGAATGTAACTTATCTTTCTTATATACAACTTCGTAGAGCAAGGAAACTTTTAGTAGAAATCCTACACTTAAAATTTATGTACATTTTTTCTAAGCAAGAAGTACAGATACGTCGCCAGTTTCTAGCAACATTATTCTGTAAATAAAAATTTTATCTACTCAATATTAGAAAATAAAGTTGCAACAGCTCCACGTTGTCCCAAAGGTAATCGGAAAAACCACAGACCTCATATTGTGAAATACGCGCACGTGATCGATGAAGACCTCACGCCTACATAATTTGCACGGGTAGTAAACAGTTAATTCAAGTGGAGTTCTCTCAAAAAGAAGTAAAACGCTTAATTAAATTTCTTCTAGTTTTCTCGAAAAATCCAATGTACATAAACAAACATCATATTTTCCGCGGCTGGTGAGGGAATACTAACCATACGCTTAGGGTTGCTGATTTTTTGTCGCAACATTGTTGTCCATGCCTTAGGCAGGTTGTGTCTACCAATTGTTAACCTTTTTTGTTCTATACTTCTTACTCAAATGTTTGGTTACACATTTTTCAGTGTTGGTGTACAGCTCGGCACAAGAACCACAACTGAGAGGGAAATATTCTGCCGTTGCAGAAACTCCATCTTTCTTGTTCTGTGCCTTCGGGCCGGAAAGGAAACGGATAACGTTGATGAATTTGCTGTTTGTGGGGTCTACATTTTTGTGAAAACGAAACGTTTCGTTACATTGTGACGGTGAGCACCGATGCAAAACATAACAGGTTGGAATTAGTACTCGTTCAATTTCTACTGGTTCGTTTGTTTCAGACGTGTGATCATTGCAGAGTGAAACGGTGTACTACAGTGTGACCTGTTGTCAAGCTACTCTACATTTATTAGGATCACTCATCATACCAGATGTCACTTGTTTGTCTTCAGGTCTGCACATGCGTCCATTTGTGTGTTTTCTCTTAATATCATTCATGTCGTTGGACCTAACAGCTGTTGAACTCAGGCGGTTTTGCCGCATTTCGCCTGACTGACCATCTCTTTCCTAAAGTGAACCATTCGCGCATACATTGATTCTATTCCTCCATATAATATCCTCTCTGATGGACACGATCAGTGGTCTTTGTCTAGAACTGGGGAATTCACCCTTACCTTGATTTTGAATTCAAGTTGTAAGGCTCAGAGGAGTGTCAGTTTGCCGATTTCGTGAATCCACTGGCATGCGTTCCTCGTTAATTTCAAAACTGTGAGTTTGTGATGTGAGTTCAATTCAGAATCTGAACTGATCTGTATAACGGAATCATCACAAAACAACGTTTCAGAATATTGTTTAAACATCGGTAAATCGAAATGGACAGATGTACTTCCCATAGAGAAACTATGCAACTGGTGACACATAGGTTAACATTGGGCAAATGTTGCCGTAGATCACGAGTGACTGAGTTCGATGCGAAATCTTTTTCTCTTTGGGGTAATAATGTGATTAAACAATTCAAACGGAGAATCAAGGGATCCGAGATGTCATAATTTTGTCACCTGCGTCAACAATATATATATATATATTGTGCGATGAGTTGGACCGATTACTCTATTCCTAATAGGGTTCAAGTCTTTAGGAACAGAATTTTCAAGCAACAAGAGAGCTCATCAGGAACCACTGTTTGGTACTCATTAATTCTCATCAGGAAGGGTTATTTTGAAAATCTTGAGGAACTTAGTTTACGGGGTTCAATTAATGAAACTATTACCAATCTTTAAGGATTCAAATGGAAGTTTTACTCCACTAAGTTACCCGTAGTATTTGAATATATGACCGATCCTCACAAAATTCCCTAGCTCTTTGTTTTTTGGCATACAAACTGCACCCAGCTGTAACGGTCTTGAAAATGACGTCTATCATCTTTCAGTGTGCAATAAAAAATGACAATTTAAGGCCCAACGTTCAGTTTATGAAATTCAGGCTGAACTGGACAACCAGACATGGTGTTATTTCATCACTCATTCAGGCCGTTTGCCTCCCCCTCCAATGATCACATTTTTTCAGTTGTCCGCAAGTAAATCGGATTGCACAGAAGAACCATGTTTCACGTGCATGTGCATACAGCGGCCAGGAATCGAGGCATTAAAAGGACAACCTCGATCAATGTGATACGTAAACACAACTCGGAATTCTAATGTAAAATCTCATCACAAAACTAACTGAAAAAGGATACCCACCATCTTTTTTCGTCTGTGATTACAAAGCAGGCATTACGGAACCGGCATTCTTATGTACATCTTTTGAAGCAGCTCACGGTGAGGACACTTTTTCGAAGGCGTGTGATTAAATACACCCCAGCACATGTGCAGTTATTTGATCACAATAATCTGACATAATATACCTCGAATACTATACTTCCTACCATGGGCACGTTTATGTCAAGGAGTGTGACAAATAGACTAACGAAACCAAGAGCCGGGATATTCCTGCTATTTTCATTAATCAGTGAATATGATGTACCTGATAACGCCGCATTGAACCCCATGTCCTGTAAGCAGTGTTCAGATACGTGGTTTCTGAAGAAAGTTCATCCGAATGTTAAAACTCAATTTCAAGGACCATGGAGGAATGTAAATATCTCCCAATAATGTATCGACTATTTAGACAACGTCACACAGATGAAACAAAATATCTGCTCAATTCTCTGAAGTGGAAGTTAGCGAAAATCACCGTGGTACCGAACATACAGTGAGCAAGTGATGTTTCATGATGACCAGCAACACGTGTATGTTCCTTTGGACACGTGATGTTTCTAAACGATTAGCTTCATCCTGCAGCTTAACAAATAGGCATCACGCTGCAACTATGGTGATCGCCTGGAAGAGTAACTGTGTGACCGCTTGGTGGCNCTGACTCTCCAACGGAAGTTACTGGAGAAGAAGGATTTGACTTTGCTGAGGCCCGCAAGATCTGTGAGCAACACGATGACCTGATGAAAGCCAATTTCAGCGAAGCAGTCACATTATTTCAACGGCAGAAGACAACCGAACCGACTTCCAATTGTCAACTGTACACCGAAGCCACAGCAAGACCCTTCTGGCAACCAGAAATGCATCAATCCGTGTCTGTCATGTGGAGCTTTCCATCTGCGGTTCAATTGTCGCTTCCGAAATGCCAAGTGTCATGCATGCGGGAAAAC